AGATGGAGTATTATAAATAAAACATTATATGGGCAACTTTTTACGAAGAATTCAGTGGCGTAGGTAGAATTTTTTTCCCATCTTTTATTTTCGAGATTTTAGACGTAACTTTATTTTTTTAAATGGAAACCATAGTTGGCTATGACCTAAAATAATTTGTTATTTTCTTCTGATAACAAATATATATAGTTTGTGGGGTATATTTCTTATAGTTATTGAATAATTAATAAAAATTCATTTTGTTCTACCTAAAACTACTGTATGTATTTAAAAGTTAATGTTGCTATGGTGATAACCATACATACATACTATGATGGAACATAATGTACCATTTTTTTTGTTCTTTCTGAAACTACTGTATGTATTTAAAACTTAACTGTTGTTATGGTGATAACCATACCATGATGAAAGACATTGTTTCCAATTATTGCCAAAGTTTGTAGTAGTATTTAAAAATTCACTAACAACTCTGGCATTATGTGCTGGTGCTCCGTCATATTAAAAATATATCATTTGAGACATATTTAATGGCTAATTGTCGACCAAAGGCTCAATGTGCTGCCTTAATACATTGAGGTATTTACCTTAGTTTAAGTTTTTATGGTAAATACTATATGCCAAAATTCTATTATCTAAAAGCGCACACCATACATTGAACCCTAATCTTCTTTGACCACTCAGAGACTTCATCCGTCCAGATGACATTTTGAACAAACAGCAGATTATTTAATTTTTCTAAATATCATCTACAAAATTCTAATCTTAGATTGACATCTCCGACACGTAAATAATGCGTTAGCCCCGCTTTGTATGGTTTATACTTATTTTTCTTTCACATTCGGGAGCAGCGGCTTTTGGGTCAGACGTCTTGTTCAATTTCTCTACAAGATGTTGATGGATTTATCGCAAGTGAAGCCAACACATTGACTTCATCCTCTTGCCGGTCATTTTGGTATGTTTTTGCACGTGGTTTGGGGAAGGACCAAAAATCTATTAAATTTTCTGCTAACCGGCTGAAGGTTCTCACGTGCGGTTGTCTTCTTTCTGGGTACCTTGTGAAATATAATTCCGCGGCTAACGTCGCATTCTTATCTGATAACATATAGCATTCCATCATGTTGCAGTTTTCATAATTTTCGAAATTCATTGTAAAGTTTTATTCAGTTTTGTTACACTTTGACACTTAATATCCTGGTGCTTCATACCACCACATAATGCCAGAGTTGTTATCGAATTTTTAAATACAAACTTAAGCAAGTATTTGATACATTATGTGCCATCATAGTATGTATGGTTATACCATAGCAACATAACTTTTAAATACATACATTAGTTTTAGATAGAACAAAATGAATTTTTGTTAATTATTCAATAACTATAAGAAATATACCCCGCAAACTATATATATTTGTTATCAGAAGAAAATAACAAATTATTTTAGGTCATAGCCAACTATGGTTTCCATTTAAAAAAATAAAGTTACGTCTAAAATCTCGAAAATAAAAGATGGGAAAAAAATTCTACCTACGCCACTGAATTCTTCGTAAAAAGTTGCCCATATAATGTTTTATTTATAATACTCCATCTTTGATAATAAGTGAGATATTCGCGAATGTCGTTTTCGCAAATTTTTCAGTTTTTGCCGATAGGGCGAAAACAAAAGACGATAGCTGTTCGGAGTTTTCGACATTAACATTTTCTCAAAAAACGAGATCATGACATGTAAGCTACTTTTTTTCTATCTCTTTTAGTTTCGGAGATAGCCTATGCGGACATCGAAATTGGGACACCCTGTACAGGAAACTGTAAATTTAATTTCTTTGACGACACTACAAAAAAAAAGTTTATTTTTAGCTTTATTCTAAAACAATAAGAAATAGACCTGTCAAACCCTATATTTTTGTAATCAGAAAAAAATAACGAATTTAATAAGCGAATAATCAGTGGTTGTTTCCATTTAAAAAAAAACGAACATTGTCATATCTCAAAATCTAAAACCGAAAAAATTTTTTTGGCTACGTCATCAAATTCTCTGTAAAAAAAGTGTCCATATAATGTCTTAGTTATAAACCTCCACCTATAATAATAACCAAGATAATTGCACTTGTTGGTTTTACGATATTTTCAGTTTTGGCCTCTAGGGGGGAAACAAAAGACGATAGCGCTTTGAGGTATTCGGCATTAGCAGTTTCTCAAAAAACGAGATCATGACATGTAAGCTACTTTTTTCTAACTCTTCTCATTTTCGAGATAGCCTATCGGATATCGAATTTGAACCACCCTGTACTTGAGATACAAAAGAAGTAGCAATAGCTTGTTGTATCAAACACATATGTGACCTGGACTACGAAAAGGGGCGAAAATTTAATTTTACTTCTACAAAAAAAAAATCAAAAATTAAATTTTAGATTTTGCGTTTCTAATTTAAAGACATTAAACTTTCGATGCAAATATCTCAGCCGCGAAGATACACTATTAGTCCAGTCCATAGTCCAGGTCACATATATGTATATAAAAAAACGCAAACAGAGAATAAGATACCAAAAATTAAACTTTTTTTTAAACTTTAAATTTACAAAAATAACATGAAACATAGAAAACAATAATATCATTAATTCAAATTACTGCCCGTTAGCGGCAAGGCAATATCTTAATCGGGAGACGAACGTTTCTTGAACAAACGTTGATTAATTGAATTTCTTCTCAATTTTTTTGCTTCAATCTTCTAGGTTATCAGGCTTATTAAAATAAACTTTAGATTTTAAATAACCCCAAAGAAAATAATCTAAAGGGGTTAATCCACCGATTGGGAAATTTTTGGTTGAGGTATTCTCGTATAACTAGTGCATAATGAGGAGGCGCGCCATCTTGCTGTAGCCAAATAATGGGATGTAATGAATTTGGATTTAGGTTTATCTCGTACATGACCAAATTCGCGAAATTTACTCTCATTTCGACTTATTGTAGATAGTGATATTGGAGTACGGTTTAGACGATTTTCGTTAAACAACGCACGGACTTCGTTATACGTTCGGACTCTATTTCGGAAACCAATCACCATAAGAATCTCGATTCTTTCAGTTTCATTAAGCGTCATTATTACTTTCTTACTTATCGAACAGTCAATAATTAAAAAATAACCCATAATAGATAAACAATAAGATCAAATAACAACAAAAAATAACAACGAATAGCGATGAATAGCAACAAATAACAGCGAATAATAATGAATAACAAGAATTAACACAAGATACTCCACAATACTACACAAAATAATCTCATTACGCACAATAAACTGTTTCAAATCGAATTTTGACACTTGGAAATTTTAAATCAAAACAATTGGTTGCCATGGTTACGCACGGCTACTGCTATTTTTTTATATGAAATGAATGGGAAATAATGAAACTTGAAATTAACTTTTCTCGAAAATTTTCTTATGTAACCGATATTAATATTTATTGTACATAATTCAGAAAAAAAATCCTCTTTCAGATTCCGATATAAAAAATGGTGTTCCATTTAAAAAAAACAAAAAAACTTCGATGACGTCATAACTCGTTTAAAAATTTAAATCGTTAGACCCGTTTCAGCGATTTTTTCATAAATTGTTTATAATAATTTTATGGAATTTATCCATTACTTTTGAAATGCACTGTATAAACACGTGTACTGGAAAGTTAATAAGTGATTTTTACCTGCTCCTGGACTGTATATTTTCTCCCAACATCCGGATCTTTTCCCTCCAACTTCTGTCGTACTCTTCGCCAAACGCTAACTGCATAAGCATTCCGTTGTTGACCACGCGTATTTTCTTGTTTAACATTTTTCGATTGACTGTCTCTTCTTGTCTCTCTCAACTGTTCGACGCGACCACCATTTTCCTGTTGTTCCAAATTCAATAGTTTCTCATAAATTGTTGCGGTGTGATCTTTCAGGTAATAAACGCTCGAACGGACGGCTTCAATGTCCTCGCGCGATATCTCTGAGCGGGTTCGCGTGAAAATATTTGAGAAATGATCGATATATTTACGATAATCAATGATGAATAATTGAGCCTCGCTTGCGTATTCTTCGATTTTTGCCATCGATTTAATAAGGGATTTAAAATCGGTCATTAATTTACAATGTTCGGAGTAGTAAGGTTTGGTTTTATCGATATTTGATATGATGTCGCTAATAATAACGAGTTTGTTGCTTTTTAAATCTTCTAATTCGCTTTGAGTTCCGGTTATTATATCGGAAATTTTTTCTGAAATCACATTAAGCCATTTCGGGTTACCTTCAAGATTAGGTGTGTATAGTTTCATAATGTTCTCTTCGATTTCGCTTACATTTTCGACTTTCATCGAGTTAAATTGGCACACAACCCGCCATTTTTCGCAGGTTGTTAAAAATAATTGATCGAACGCTTTCGTTTCGGCCGTATGGCTCCTTAACATTTCATGTTGGAGAATCGTGCGACACGTGGTTAAAACAATGTTGGTTATTTGATGTTCGGATTTTAACTTTTCTTCGTACGCGCTTAAAGCGAGTTCGAATTTGGATAATTTTTCGTTTAAATCTGGATTAGCACCGGATGCCCATTTTAAACGTTGTTCAACGCTGTTTATTAGCGGTTTTTGTAATTCTAGGGCTTCGCTTAATTTCAATTGAACCGTAGTTAAAGCGGACGATTCATTTTTTAAATCGAGTATAAATTTGCTGCGATTAATAATCGAACCGTTTTGATACCAATTATGTTGATTTAAAAGATCTTCGAACATCCAATTTGTCATCATAACTTGATTTTGTAATCGTTTTAACGATGATTGTAATAAATTTAAGTTTCGGTCGTATTTTTTGGGTTCTTGCATCCGTTCCCAAGCTGTTCTCATGTTTGTTTCTAAGCTAGAGGCTTGTGCCAAAACGTTTTGGGTGAAGGTTCCGTGTTTAACAAAGGATCCCCATCCTTTATGGGATAATTCATCTAAGGGAACTTTATTTTCAGCACCAATATCTTTCTGTTCGATTTCATTAGTTACGTCTAAACCCAACGTTTGTAATAAAGAACATATTGAGTAGGCTAAAACTTCCGTTGTAACCCCCAAAAATTGTCTCCCAATAAAATCGGCGATGTATTTTCGAACTGGCTTAATAATTTGTTCGTCGTTAAAAACAACGCTTTGACCGGTGCCTTTAAAACCTTGGCACATTTCGACGCAGATATTAAAGAAATCTGCGATCGCTTGAATACGTTTAATTAAGAAGATGTCTTCAAGAATCGTTTTAACCGATGGATTTAAAGTTGGGGCGGCTAAAGATTTTGCGTCTTTGACATGATCGATTTTTTTCCACGCCAAAGGGACTTCTAAGGTGCAAAGGACTTCCATTAAATTGTTATATTCGACGTTAACTTTTTGAAATAAACCATTAAATCCCATCAAGAGCATTTTACCAAGATTTAAAGTGTATTCTTGCGAGGAATGAACGAGGGCTTCAAAATTTAATTTTAATTCCTTTATTTTTTCTAATACGTAATCACCAGATGACTAAAAAAAAAAGATTAAAATGATAAAAATAATTATTTCTTTTTTAAGGGAGTATTCCAGTCTAGAATCCCGATCTAAAACTCATAATCTAATGGGATTTTTAAAATATACATCTCAAGCTATCGTCTGAACTAGAATAAACAAAAATACATTAAAAGAAACAAAATGCCAATTTGAAGATTACATTTTTCTTATTTTCGTTTTTTTAACTATAAAAGGCTCTAGAATTAATAAAATCAATATTTTGAATTAATTCTACTATCCATGCCAAAAGTCAGACCTGGTGTGTATTCTATATAGACTAGAAGTCGCTAAAAAAATATCTAAAATCTTTGAAATCTTCTGGAAAACATCCTAATTATTTTTTTTAAGTTCTTTCGTCTGTATCAAGTAATTTAGAAACGGTTTCAATCAATTTGAACCATTTTGACAAACACAAATCCATTTTTTTTAATCCCTTGTACAAGTTAGTTAACCTAGTTACAAGGGATTAACAGGTTAACAGATTAACAGGTTTTTGCAAGACTTCAAAATCAAGTTAATAAAACTGTAAGTGCAGCAACTGTGAGAAGAGTTTTGCGATCTGCCGGCTATAACGGAAGAGTACCGCGAAAATGTACTGAATTTGCAAAAATGCACAAAAAAAGGTATAGATTTTTGGAAAAGGGTGATGTTTACAGACTAATCAAAATACAACATTTTTAGATGTGATGGTAGAGGTAAAATTTGGAGAAAAACCGGTACAGCGCTAAATTTAAAAAAAATTCCAATAGCTAAACATGTATTACGGTGTAGGGATCTATGGCTGCTTCAGAACTCGAGAGTTTAGTTTTTATCGATAATATAATGGACAAACGGCAATATTTAAATAATTTAAAGGCTAATTTAAAACAAAATGTTATACAATTGAGACTTGGAAACAGTTGGACCTTCCAACAGGATCAAGACCCAAAACATACAGCGTATGTAGTTCACGAAGGACTTTTATGTAATATGCCTAAGCAGCTACATTCTCCACCACAGTCTCCAGATATTAACCCCAAAGAATACGTGTGGGATTATTTAGAAAAAGCAATTAGAAAACACAACATTGGTAGTAAGGAATCGTCAAAAGTTACATTGCAAGCCGAATAGGGAAAAATTCTGATTTGTTAAAGCGAAAAGCTTGTGTAATCAATGCCAAGGAGATTGAAAGCTATACTAAAAACGAATGAAGGACCTACGAAGTACTAGTACTACGGAGATTTCTTACTGTGATTACTTTTGTTAGGTTGCAATGGAACAATTTTGAAGAATTATTTACTTATAAATTTACAGGTTAAAAATTAAGAACGCTCTTTTTTAACAAAAGAAATATTAAGAAACGTTTAATCAATGTGAAATGACCCCAAAATATGTTAAAAATAAAAAGAAAGTGCGGAAAAGTGACTAACACTAGATTAACTTCAGTTATAAAACTTCTATTATATGATAACTAACTTCAGGTTTAAAATGTCAACCTCAATTTTGACATATTTGTAATCTTCATTAAAAATCCTTTAAAATGAGTACAAGCACGACATATTTATCTTCAATATTAATGAAGTTATGGTCAACTTCCGGTTAAGAATGTCAACGTCAATTTTGACATATTTGTAATCGTCGTGAAAAATCCTTTAAAATGAGTCCAAACATGACACATTTAATTCCAATAGTACTCGAGATATAAGCAACTTCCGGTTTGAAATGTCAATGTCATTTTGATATATTCTTAATTTTTACAAAATGTCTTAATATTTGTCACAAAAACAAAAATATCATAAAAAAAGATAAAATATTAAGGTCGGTATTAATATTTAAAAATTAAATTGCTTGAATAAAAAAACATTAAACCCTAAGTTAGCAACCTTCATTGTTGCTAACTTAGGGTTTAATGTTTTTTATTCTAACTTTTTTGTTTTTTGAGATAAGTGCGTCATCTTTGGACTCATTTTAAAGGTTTTTTAATGAAGATGACAAATATGTCAAAATTGACGTTGACGTTTCAAATCGGAAATGATTGTATTTCCATTAATATTAAAGTTAAATATGTCGAGTTTGGACTCATTTTAAAGAATTTTTATGAAGTTGACAAATATGTCAAAATTAAAAATTCGAACTTTTTGGTTTTTTGAGATAAATGCGTCAAGTTTGGACTCATTTTAGAGGTTATTTTATGAAGATTACGAATATAATAATAAAATTAAAGTTGACATTGACAAGTGAATGTTTTTTTCATGACTAAACCCGAATGTTTCTAGTTCTCGTTCCAGTAATTTTATACTAACATCTAGAAAACGACACTGGCCCGAAATTGTAGATTAATCTATTTTTTTCTATTGTAGAATTTCTTGGTGTATCTAAGTGTCGTATCTATATCTCTAAACTTCTAAACGATAAAATGTCGGTTAGTGAAGTGATGTATAATGCAGTTCAATTGTAACTATTAAAAAAAAAAAAACTTTTATTTCTGATCCTATTTTAGAAATCATGTAAAAACCGTTGGTGTATGATGACTTTTGGTACTGATTGCATCTTTGGAACACTTTCAGAAAACGTGAAAATCATTTCTTTAACTTTTTTCATTCGAATTAAGTATCCTAGAGATGTTTTTAATAGATTAGAACCGATTTGATTCACACCCATCAGGTTTTCCCATATTTTAAAACTTTTGAACCTTTTTGGAAAACAACCTTATTCGTTTTTTTAACTTCTTTCGACATTATCAAGTAATTTAAAAACGTTTTCAATCAATTTGAAAAATTTTGACAAACAATGAACTTTTTTGAATAATTTGTACCTTTAAGACACTTTCAAAAAACGTCAAAATCATTTTTTTTTAATTTTTCATCAGAATTAAGTATCCTAGAGATGCTTTTAATAGATTAGAACTCGTTTAATCACACCAATCAGCTTTTCCCATATTTTAAAACCTTTGAAGCTTTTTTGAAAACATCCTTATTATATTTTTTACTTCTTTCGACATTATCAAGTAATTTAAAAACATTTTCAATCAATTTGAAGCATTTTGACAAACACCAATCAATTTTTTTAATCCCTTGTATCTTTAAGACATTTTTAGAAAACGTCAACATTAATTTTTTAAATTTTTCATCAAAATGAAGTATCCTAGAGATGCTTTTAATAGATTAGAATCCGTTTAATTCATACTAATCAGCTTTTCCCATATTCTAAAATCTTTGAAGCATTTTAGAAAACATCCTTATTAATATTAAGAGATAGTAAAGAGTATATCTTAAAAAGCAATGCGAATTTTTAAATATACTTTCACAAACATAAGATACTCTCTAAACTGGAATCTCCCTTAATAAATAAAAAAACAACTTACACTTATATCCATTTCCATAACAGTACACTTCAAATTATTCTCTAAATGCGCCACAATATCCGGTAAAGACATCCCAACTCCATGAATCAAACTATTCAATTCATTAATAATTTCCAAAACGCTCACATCGCAACATTGTATTTTTTTCATAGATTCCGGTAAAATAATCGTATGGAAATTAAAGTACAACTCTTGCAACCCTTTATACATGCAATTACAACACGTTAAAACATTATAGATATGTTTAAAAGTGGGATCCTCTAATTTATCGGCAGCATTATTCGTGCACAAAAACAAATAGCTTAAAAGCTCCATGGCTTTATCGCTTTGATAAGTAAGATCTTCCAGTAACCAAACGTTATCAGCAGCGGATAATTTCAATAACCAATCGCCTCGTCTTGAAGCGGCTCTTTCGATGCCAAGAAAATGTTGATTTAAAAGCAGCAATTCGCTTATAATTACAAATTCAAAAGCTTTCGCGGCGTATTTTTCTTGTCGCAAAAAGTTGAGAACTCCCAATTTTGCGTCATTATACATTCGATCTAAAACGCCTGGTTCGGTGTGGATTTTGGTGAAATCATCTAAAGCTTTTGCTAATTGAGACGCCGTTTCTGTTGAAAGCACGTTTAATTGGTACGCGAATTTTAAAGCGTTTTTTACTGTCGTGTCGTTGTTTTGTTCAATAAATTGTACGAATTCTGTATAAACTATATCGCAACCGGTTAAATTTGTTGTCTCTTGAAGGTACCTAATGAATAATTAATGAATTTTAATCAAAGAATTTGGTTAATAAAGTTATTTTTTACCTGCACCACCTTGCAAAAGCGTTTATTCTGTGTCTTTTCAAAAAATTAGGTGGACATTGTTGGATAATCGCCGTATATTCTTGTAACGATTGCAAACACTTAATTGTTAATAAAATTTGTTGCTTTGATAACTGATCTATATCTTTTTCTGATTGCTCGCATTGTGCCAACATCGTCGATTGGCCGGCGTTTTGTAAAAAGTCCTTTACAATATCAAAAGCCCATTGATGTTCCGCCTCAAAACTCGCGTTTAATTCCATCAACCATTGCGGGAATTGTTGACCTTCCAATATCAACAAAGCTTCGGTGTATCTTTGACCTTTAGCACCACAATCTTTAATTAAAGAGTCCAAATCTTTTTTGGCATTAGCTATAGAATCTTGAGCTTGTTTATATTTATTATATCGATTGGGTAACGAATACAACGAATGTTTCGATATTCCATTCGCTTCAGCCTCTTTAACAAGCGCCATTTGTTGATGAAGATCTTGCAGCAATTCTTGAACTTGAGAACATGTCTTAGATTCATTCAACCACTTCGTTAATAACTCGTCTAAAATAGGGAGATTGTTTAAAATATCATCGCTAAAACAAAAAAAAATTAATTAATTGTTATGAGTAATTAAATTTATTATTTTTTACCGATTTTTATTCCAATCTATTTTAACTTCAGTACACCTAACGTTGTACATAGCTAAAGTAACCTCTCGTTCCAAATCTTTTCTTGTTTGTCGACTCGTAGCACTTCCGGGAACTCCCCCAAAAATCGTTCCGGCTAATCCTTCAACTCCAAGGGTCCAATCTATTAGGGGGTCGTAAACGAAAGCTTCTAAGAGTGTTAACAATGTTTCTCTTCCTTTTTTCATTGTTCTCAATACATTTTCACAAGCCATTCGGAAAATACCCTGTTAAAAAAATCGTTTATTTCATTATTTTTAAAATGACTCGGAAATTAGGTTATTTTTATACACATCAAGAGGTGCCGAAAAATAATTAACGCTTGAAAGATGGTAATCCGGGAGGTCTTTAAAGTGTGTTAATATAACGTTTTTTTGCCTGCCCGCGGTCGAGTAATTAATGTTTATGGATCATCATTGGAGATTATGGCGTTTTTAATAAAGCGAACGGGAGCTTTAGGGAACGAAAATAAAAAGTGAGGAAAACAACTCGAACCAGTTGTGTTTGCACGTTCGTGTTCATTATCGTCACATTACCGAGCTTTATCAGTAATCTACTCAATAGATTTTACTGCATAATTTTTCTGGATTAAAATAAAATTATTACGTTTTAATTTCGAAATTAATTACGAACATATTTTTATGAATTAATTTTTTTTCTTATACCGGGAATTTCATATAACTCGCAATATATTAATGCAGTAACCATAGTTACGAAACTACAACGCACTTGCACTGCCCCACATAAAATGCAACGTAGCTTAATAGTACAGAGGTATTGGGTAGTTTAGCAAAGGAGAAGTTTTGCTTGGAAAAGGTGACGTCCTTATGATAACTGAGTTTCCGTCTTACGAGACGCACGGCTAAACCGGAATAATTCTAGTTGTTGGTCTAGTGTTAGTTCTACTTTTAGTTCAATAGAAATATACAACAATCTAGCGTTGCATAACAATTAAAACTAACACTAGACCTAGAACTAGAAACATTCGGGTTTAGCCGTGCGTCTTTATAATAAGTATAATAAGTATTGATAAAGATATAATAAAGCTTGTAAACGACACCAATTTAAAGACAAATGCCCAAGACTATTTAAAAAAATTAAAGCATATCGAAAACACTTGCACTATAGGAGAGGCTACAGAGATATGGCTAGAACTTTTGGAAGCATTCGAGACTGAACAAGCAAATGAAGAATTTTCGGTAAGTGATACGAATAAAGTTAAGGAACCCGTGTGAAGTTACCCATAAATTCTATCCATAAAAAAACTTTTTTGTTTGTGTATCGATTTTAATGATTAATATAGCTCATTAGAAAGATCTCGTAGAGTAGAGCCTAACATAGTTTTGGCGGCGCAGATTTTGGTCGGGAATACCTTAAATTCTGCGAAAAACAGTAAAATATATAAGAAAATTCTCTAACTTTAGAGTCCCAAAAATGGAAAACTAATTAACATAATATCGTCGGTATACAAGAGAAAGTGACTAAGTCCACAGATAGTGGTTTTGAGTTATTAGTATTCTAATTTTTGCTTCTTATTATAAAATCAATTATTTTACGTGAGATTAGTTTATAATGATTTTTATAAATAATATAGTTTTTAGAATATGTATTTTAAATTAAAAAAGTCTATAATTAATTTAAGCAAATACTAAACCAGTAACTCATTTCAACTGCATAGGTTTGTAATGGTTTCTATGAACAATGCAGATTCTAGAATATGTATTTAAACTTAAAAAAGACTATAATTAAACAAGTAGTAGTAACTAGTTTCAACTTCATATGTCTTCATCACTATATTCATTGTGTGAGGGTTCTGGACACTTGTCTTTCAAGGAATTGTCACTCGGTATGTCAAAGTACCAACCATGGTATTCGATCGGAATTACCCCCTTACGGCAAAGTTGAATTAAATCGTTTTTCTTCTTGATCGATATAGGCAAGGGTTCAATATAACATTTCTTTAACTCAGTTTCTTTTGGAATATTATTACT